AGGGGGGGGGGAGAGGATAGACACGTAGCATGTCATATTGTAACGAAAAATCAGTGTTAACATTATCCATCCTTGTTCTATCCCTCCATTCTGCCAAAAATGCATAGATCTAAACTATGCTTTCATCCATCAATCCGTCCATCAATCCGTCCATCAATCCATGTGCTATTTAGGTCCAACTCCGACTCAGTAAGAAACAGTATTAGCCACCAGAATCCCAATATCCAACATTCGTTAAATTTTCTTAAAACCAAGATCCTTTTTCATCTCAGCTTTTCCAGCATTTAGACGATGTTTCTCGGGTCATCCTGCTATACAACTTTCTGTCTTTTGCCACTCTGTTGGGCAGTTTTGTTTTAGTTCGAATTAATAAATGTTCCCATCTTCTGTTAGGTCTCCCCCTTCCTCTCGTGCCTTCTACCTGAAAGTCATGAATATGTTGCTGATAAAATGTTACTTTTACCCAAAGAACTGTCATAAGCAGCGGCGCTGTCCATCGATTTTAGTCTTGCAATGAAGGGCTAGACAAACCCATTTCCCTTATCGTTTTACCTTAGTTCCTAACCCTTAACCCCGGAAAAACTAACCTCAATAACCCAAATAACCTTAATAACCTAACTCCTAACCCCTAACCCTAACCCCTAACCCTAACCCCTAACCCTAACCCCTAACCCTAACCCCTAACCCTAACCCCTAACCCTAACCCCTAACCCTTGATATGTCAAACCTATTGAACAAAAACAGCACCCAAACTAGCACTAATATCATTCGTTGAGTCACAAGGATACAATTAAAAAACAAACAATGTTTAACATTATTAATTATTATTGATACTTCCAAAACAGTTCATTTACAATGCAAAATTTCTGAATTAAAAATCAACCCATTTGAAACATTTAAAATTAGCTCTCAATCAAATATATATAAAGTGGAAAGTCTGACCTGTGTGTGATCTGAGCACTCGCGCGCGCGCGCGCGCGCGCGTGTGCGTGTGTGTGTGTGTGTGTGTGTGTGTGTGTGTGAGTGCGTTTTGTGTATTGTGTATGTGTATGTGTCTTTTTCATCATGTCCATTGCATACTGAAGAATACAACGTCATTTTTTAAAAAACATAGCGAAAACAACAACCACAACAACAACAACAAACAAAAAAGAAGAAAAAAAAAAGGAAAGAAACAAAAATCGTATAAAATCAAACCCCAGCCACCAAACAATGTTTAGACACTGTATCATAATACCTCAGAACCCAAACCCCTAATCCTTAGCCCCTAATCCTTCACCCATATAACCCCTAACCTTTCACCCCTTAGCCTTAACCTAAACCCAAGACCTAAACCTAACCCCTACCCTAACCCTTAACCCCCAACATTTAACCCTTAAACCTTACATTATGTACATCAACAGTCGAAACACCTGCATTGCAGATCTTTCAAGAATAATCTTGTGGACTATTGCGCCATGTGCTGAAAAAGCCTGCTAAATATGTGAAAGCATAAATAAATACACAATTTATGTCTGTAATGTCATGCTATGTATCTGATATACAGTAGAGTCCACTGAACCCGAGCACGGTTGCGAAAACAATTGTAGCGGTCAGTCGTAGCGGTAACCCCCAAAAAATAATATAAATCCCTGATTATTTTTTCTTCTATATCAGCAACGGCTCTAAACTAGAAAACACAGCTAAATCGAAGGATATCCGGCGTTCCGGCAGACGACGGATTTAACGGATATGTTCGTAATTTTATATCTACAGTGTTATGTGTTTTCAAACCAATAAATAAATGAATACATATACGAATAGATAAATAAATAGATAAGTGAACAAATAAATCAATACATCAATAAATCAATAAAACAATAAATAAATAAATAAATCTCTCAGCTGTTGCTAACAGATGACAACAATACTTATTTGGTATTTTATTATGTATTTTTTCCAATTTCACCAGTGCTCTTCAACCTTCTTTTGTTCCTTCCTTCCTTCCTTCCTTCATTCTTTCCCTCCTTTATTATTCTTCCTTTGTGTCCGGTTTTTTTAATCTATTGTGTTATTTTTTCCACCTAATATCATGAACAGTTTATTCTCATTCTTTTATACATGACACCTTACGCTGCCCCAAACTCCGCTATTCTCTTTACACCGCCCCCCCCTTCTCCCACGTCCCCACCTACCCCTACCCCCTACCACATACCCACTATCCCTTAAACCAAGGGCCTTACAACAATAAATACTTTACAACCTCCTTGTTTACATGTGAGTGGGCGTGTCTCTGCTCTTATTAAGGAAACTGTTTTATTAGATTATAATGTTGTGTTTTAATCCAAAGATATTTTCTCTAAAGTGCAAGCTTGTGAAACCTCTTGTCCATTTCTGGATTAAGGTCTTACAGCCTTAGAGACTTTCTCTACAGTAAATTCCTCACCAGCAAACGTCTGATTAGTCTGGAAGTGAAAGACTGAAGAAAACGAGACCCTGAGAAAGGATGGTGCAACACTGATGTGCCTATCAGTGCACTAAGAAAGCTTCCAAAGGAACCCCTCTTTTTTTCACTGGTAAGAATAAGATTGATAAAAAATACAGACAGATTAGACCCAGATCTATGTTTTGAAGAAAAGATTCGAAAAGATTAGGCCTTGTAGTGTAAATCTATGCCCCTATCCCATACTCCCTT